GTGTCTAGCCTGGGTGCCTAATCAACACCTGTCAAACAAGGGACAGAAGACTAAACAGAAATGCCTTCCCCAATTGGTCCACCGGGATTTAATGGAATTCTGGGGAGGACCTGTCCCAGATCTGCCTGTCCCTGATGTCTCCGTGATGCCCACCAGGTGCACGACCCCCACCCGATGGGGAGTTCCATGGAAGCAGAGCTGTCTGGTCCCATTCACCTCTGAAGGCCCAGGACCAAGGGGGTGCTCAATAAATGTGGCCTCCTCTTCCCTCCCCACACTCAGTCTCCAGTGTTCCTGCTGTGACAGAAAATGGATGCCCTGCCTACCTCGGGGTCCCAGAGCACCTCCACATCCCCACCCCCTCGGGCCCAAGGGACAAACTGTGTCATCTCCACACCAACCTCCCCCTACACCAAGGTGTGTGTGACAGCAGGCATGTCAGGGTAGCAGATTCCAGTGGCATTCAGCTGCCTTTTCCAAGGAGGGTGGGAGAGGGCCCTGGGGAAGCGGAGGCCTGGCCAAGCCTGTGGTGTGTGTGCAAAGACCTGGCTTGGCCAGGCCTGGGCATCAGGCCTCCAGCTGCAGAGTTGACCTGTCCAAGGCTTTCTTCATGCCCAAAAAATCTCAAACATCCTCTGAGGCCTCCATCCCAGCTGGTTCAAGGCCTGGCCCACGGAGGGAAGGCAGTGCCTGTACTGGGAGCAGAAGTTGCCCAAATAAGAATCCCACTGAAGAGACAATTCAAGATTCAAAGCTACCAAAGAAGAAAGGAAGGGGGAGGTGTCTCCCCAAGACATACAGTCTGCTTCTTGGACAGTCTGGCACCCAAGTCCAGAGCAGGAGGAGCCGCCGGAGCAGCCCTCCTCTCTTTCTGGCCCTGCCTGCCTCTTTCATGCAAAACGGGGTAGTGTGGCACAGGGGACAGTGGCCAGGGCCAGACCAGAATCCACCCAGCTGTGTCCTTAGCTCCTCCTATGAAGTAACCAGAACAAGTGATTTCTCTGCCCCAGGCCTCAGTTTCCCCATCTACTGGCTGAGGAGGCACCTCTGCCTGTCTCCTCAGAGAGGGCTTGTAAGGTAAATCAAAACCTCCCTCTCACTCCCTCCCCTGACACTGCCAGCCACGTGCATGGGGCAGGCCACAGGACCAGTGCCAGCTGGACGCAGAGACCTCTCAAGATGTTTGGGATTCTGCCTGCCTGAAGGACCGACTGGCTCGAGGCTGAAAACCTGCTCCTAGCCCACCCCGGGGAGACCACAGCCCAGCCCGCTGCTTCCAAACTCATCAGACTTGGCTAGGACCTCTGCACCCCCCCTGGGACCCCTGGGAAAGCCTCCCAGATGCCATTTGGATATAGCTGCTTAAAAGGCCTCCCTCTGGGCAGGGTCCTTGGCACATGCCCACTGTACTACAGTGCCAGTCCGTGCCTGGCCCCAAATCCACAGCAGTGACTTCAGCCCCACCCCCATCTATGTCCCTGAGGCCCTTTATCCTCAGATCTCACAGGATCTAGCTCAGTGCCTCAAAATTCTCCATATCTGGAGTTTCCTGTACCCCTCAACCCACTGAAAAGAACCTTCTTCAAAGGTCTGGGAACATCACATGGGGCTGAAGTGCTTCCAGCCCTCTGCCACCAAGGCAAGACAGGACTTTGGAGCCCGACCAGCCCAAATTTAAACCACCCTAGCTACACCCAAGCTGAGTGACATGGGCCCATCACGTTAGGTCTCCTGACCCCAGTTTCCTCATCAGCTCATGGGGTGGTCCCACGATCACGCATTTGAGGTGCTCAGCAGGTACCTGGCATATGGTAAATGAACAATCAAAGGCAGTTTAAACCCTAATGATAAAAGGGTTATTTTGCCAATTAAATTACCAGCTGGGTGACCTATGGCACGTGGCTTCACCTCTCTGGCCTTGGTGCCTCTCTGGATGGCCAAGAGGATTAATGGCCATACCATTTGCAAAACTCTCAGCACGGTGCCTGGCACATAGCACGGGCACTCAGAATATAGTAGCTGTGAGGATTATGGTTCATAAGGAGGCCTCAGAAAGATGACGCTGGGAACAGTGTGACAAACCACCTGTTCTACCTGCTCAAAGTGGGTCAGGCTGGAGCTGTGTACCAGGCTGTTGCTATGGCACCCCGCACAGAGGAAACACTCCAAACTAGGAAGGCGGGTGCTGCATGGGTGGGGCCTCGGGCCTGCTTCTCTCAGACACCACCCATGTCACGGCAGCCACCAGTCTCTGAGCTACCTCAGGGGTCCTTGGGTTGAGGGGAGTATGGCACTGGATCTGGGTCCAGGATCTAGGCAAGTCTTGTCACTCCTAACCCACCCCAACTCTAAAGCATTGGGGCCTGTTCATCTGGAGGAGTAGGCTGTGAGGTGAGGCTCCCAGGCTGCAGACCAGTGTGGGTGGGATCGGAGTGGCGGGGGTGAAAAAACTAACAGAAACCCCGATCTGCTGAGCAAAATCCAAAGCAGCTCTAAAACAGCCTGAGATCCCTCGCTGATGTCTGCTCCCTCCAGCCACACCTGCACAGCAGCAAACAGGCACCCAGAACCCACTAAGTGCCCAGGTTTTGGGGGGCTCAATGTCAGCTCCTCCCTCCTCAGCCCCACTCAGGTTTCAACCACAATGAGAGCTGGGAAAGGCTGTCTGGGTTGGGCTGGATTCAGGGAATCCATGGCCCCTTGCCAGGAGGGAAGAAGGGGAGGCAGAGGTGAAATCCAGCAGCTGTGGGCTGAGACCTGGAACTTTCCAGACTTTTCCAGATGAGAGCGCAGGTTTAGAGCAATGGAAAGGCTGACAGGTAGGGTGACAGTGGTCCCAGGGCCTAGGAGGCCAGGGGAGACCTCAGCCTGGGGCTGAATACAAATTCCTCAGAGGGATCCAGAACCCTGGCCCCACCCCCAGCTCACATGTAGGCCCCCTGCTGACTCCAGCTCCGCCCTCTAAGACTTGGGAGAGGCTAGGGGCTGAGGCCCCTCTACCATAGAAACCACAACTGCTGCAACCATTTGCTGAGCCAGACATGGTATATCCACTACCCATTCCCCTCACAATTCTAGGGGTGAGGTTACCTCTCCCATTTCACAGAAGAGGAAACTAAGACTCAAAGGTAGTGGTTAAAAGCACATCCTGAGTTTGAATCTAAGTTCTGCTATATTAACTCAGAAAAATCACTCCCTCTCTGAGCCTCAGTTTCCACCTCTATAAAATAGGGGTAATAGCCCTGGCCACTGTGGCTCAGCTGGTTGGAGCTTTGTCCCATACAAAAGGTAGTGGGTTTGATTCCTGGTTAGGGCACATACCCAGGCTGTGAGTTTGATCTCCAGTTGGGGCACGTGTGGGAAGCAACGGATCAATGTTTCTCTCGCACATCAATGTATCTCTCTCTCCCTTCCTCTCTCTAAAATCAACAATAAAATAAAATAAAATGGGGCTAATACTCCTATAGCCCCCTCCCCAACCCAACCTCCACCCAAAGAGCTAAGTGAAAGGTGCTAGTAAAACGGAGAGCACAGCACCAATAATTGCTAGTTGTTGGAATCACAGAGGTTAGGTAGGGTAACTTGCCCAAAGTCACCCAGCCAGTGATTGGTCAACCCCAGACCCTAACTATGGGCACAGCCCTTTCCCTGAAACCTCGGGCTGCTGTATGGGTGGCCCTGGGATCACAGGCTTCCTAAGCAACCATATATACGACACCCCATCCCCACTACCCACCCCTCAGCAAAGAGCAGCCCTTGTCTGAATTCCTCAAATAAGCAACTCCTAGTAGATTGAAGAACCTACTGGCCTGAGTGGGCCCAAATGCACCAAAAAGGAACCCCACCCTGTCCACACCAGAGATTCCTAAATCTGGGTTAGGCTGTATGGCTCTCCTTGCCTCCTCCCAACAGAACACCAGATGCATCCAACAGGTCTCCAAACAAGCCTAGTTCAGTTGACAACTGCCTCCTGACAGGTCCCTGGGCAAGCCCCTTATTTCCTCTTTCTGGGCCTGTTTCTCCCTCTATTAACAGGCACCCATCTCAGAACCGTAATGCAGTTCCAGCTAACTGGGCCCACAAGGAGGCCAAAGAAGTAGAGGGACAGGCCAGGGAAGGGAACCAGTGTGTCCTAGGCACTGGGTCAGGCCCTGCGCCACCTTCTCTCTACTGAAACATCTCCACAACTCTCTGACAGAGACCTGTGTTGGGCCCAGAGTGTGACAGAACTAGGACTCAAACCCCCATCTGTCAAACTCCAAGTCACTCTCCCTGGCAGACCAGGACTATGCGACCCAAAGTGGACCCAGTCAGTGGGTGCAGCTTGGGAACTCAGTTGCCCTCATCATTGAGCTGGGCAGCTGGATCTGCAGGATGAAGAGCACAAAACCAAAGTTGATCAACCTCTTTCAGAAAGGGCTGCAGCCTCCTTGACAAGGGCATTTGCAATGCAAAGCAGCCCAGCTCCAGCTAGAAGAGGGCAGTCACTCAGAGGGGGCTGGGCAGGCCAAAAGCCAGCCACCTCCCTCTAGGCATACAGGGAGTGCCAGGGGTCTGGCCTTCCCAAAGCTGGGAGTGCCTGGGAACCTGTGGCTGGCCAGGACTCTAAATCATGACAGCTTGAGTGGCCAGCTGGGTGCAAGGTAGCTTAGAACGCTCCTTCCCATCTCAGCCCCTTAAGATACAACCCCCGCCGGGCTCTTCGTGCAATTCTGCAGAATGGAGCTACAGCAGGCTGCATGTAGGGCCCCCGAGAGAGGAGCTGAAAGAATAACCCCCCAGGTAGCTGGCAGGTCACCTGCAGACGGGTGCGGGCACCCCGTCAGATTCCTCGGGCCCAGACCTCCCAGCTCGCTCAGCCCTGCCTTGTGCAAACTTGTCCCAGACACACACAACCCTCAGGATTCTCTGGGCCCCAAGGGGAGCTTCCATACTCGCCAAGTGGCTAGATCTCGCTCATCATCCCATTCCCCTGCAGGCAAGACTGCCCCAGCTCTTACCTTGATGATATGCTGACAAAATCCCCGCCATCCAGCAATCGGACCTTGCAGAAGAGGACCCCGTTCACGAAGGGGACCGCCGTCAACTCCTCCAGGGTGAAAGTGGTTTGGAATTTGAATTTCTTCTTCTTCATCAAGAAAGCCATGAGCGAGTTCCCTGAGTCTGAAGCCCCGAAGGCCAAAAAAGGGGGAGACCAGAAATCCCCAGGATTCCTTTCCCTACACCACACCCCCTCCTCAAAACACCAGAGCCGGATCCCGCCCAGATGGTGGCGGAGGCGGCAGAGCGGGCAGGGATCTGAGTCCGAGGGCCCAGGTCTCAGCGACCAGTCCAATTCGCGGGTCGGCTGGCTTCACCCTCGGGGAGCTGGGGCTCGAAGGGGCTCGGAGTGGCCAGGGGCTTCAACGGCATGTAAACAGCGGGACATAGCCCAAGACGCAAGGACAGGAGTGGCAGGCGGCGCGCTAGTGGCCGCGCTGGCGGACAGCATCCCGACCCGCGGTTCCCAGGTGGTTCACGCCGCGCGGCCGAGCGTGGCGGGCAGACCGGTGAAACTGAGGGCGGCGGGCGGCCGCGGCCCCGCCCCCGCCCCGCTGGCGGCCGGGGGAGGCGCCCTCACTGCACACGCCTCCGCACCTGGGTGCCAGGCGGCCGGCGCAGGTGAGTCCGAGGAGGGTGAGGGCACCCCCCGGACGCGGCCGGGAGCTCTGGGGGCCTCTCCGGGAGGCGCTTTGGGAACACTCGGGCTGGAAACGTCCGGCGGCGACCGCTCCGGGCCGGTACTTGGCCCGACCCCGGGCAGCGAGGGCGCCGCCTTCTCCTCGGTCCTGGGTCCCGCACCGCGGGCCCCGGCGGAGCTGAGGCGTCCTTCCGGCCGGCCGGTGGCGCCGCCTCGCCCGCCGCCTCTGCCCAGCACCCCGCGAGCAGCAGCACCGCCGCCTGCGCGCCCAACGCCGCGACCCAAGCCTAACGCTGCGCGGCGCCGCTGCGAGAATGCCGAGGCCCAGCCCCTCCGCCCGCGGAGCCGCGGCTGAGAGCGGGAGGGGCGGGGCGCCGGTGGCCCAGCCGCCCGCGATTGGGCGGCCCGGAGGAACGGCCGCGTAGCTTGATTGGCGGATGGCAGGGTGGGGCGGGACTTGGCAAGTCAGAGGCGGATCGGGACGCTCGGATTGGTGCACCGTGTAGCTGGGCTCGCCTCCTCGGTTGGGGCGGAGCGGAGGGAAAGAGAGAGGGGCCGCGGGAAGGCTGTGGGAGGTCGCGGGGCGGGAAGCCGGAGCTGGCAGAGCAAGGAGGAGGGCGCGAGCGAAGGAAAAAAGAAACAATGAAGAGAAGAAACAATATGAACACTATGGCTAGAATGCCCTTCCGTTGTCCCCCGCGACCTGAGCTCCCTGACCATTTAATTAGGCCCGGAAGGTAGCAACACCCCCCCCCCCCCCGCCCCAAATACCCAGAAAGGTGACAGGGACTAGACCAAGCAGGTCTTACAACCTCTGAATCTCTGGTTCTCGGTTCTAAGGAGAGAGGTGTCTGCAAATGCTTCGCCAAGGGGTTGATTTAGAGCAGTTCATCACCAACCTGTGATAGACTCAGCTTCTTCCATCCCAAGCTGCTGTCTAAAGCCTTTTGTTGTCGGTTAGTTTCTTACCTAATTACGACTGGCCTCCCGGACGAGATAAACTGCCCTGGGTGCAGGGACTACTGTACTTCCCAGGCCTTCCACATATTGTAGTTCATTCATTCGGTCCCCAAATGTTTAGGGGCAATCTAGTCTGAGCCAGGCTGGGACCTAGCAGTGAGCCTGGTGGGCCTGCGCTCTCCTCCAACCTCTCCAAGCGACAAATCTGATGGATGAGAATTGTAATAGGGGACTTAGGGGACTGGGGGAGCTCAGTGGAGGCAAGGTGGTGGGGATGGGGACTCAGAAAGCTCTGGCACAGATAATCCAAGCCACCCACAGGATGCATGCCCTGGTTTAGACAGGGTCCAGGCAGAGGGAGTCTCCAGAGGCCTATTGGACAGAGAGAACAGTGCCCACAGAAAGCTATGAATACCTCCATCTGGCAACATTTTGGCAATTGGGGCAGGGAGCAATTTGACAAGCGATGGGGCTGGAAGGTCTGTAGTGGCTGGATCTTGCAGAGTCTTAGAGACCAGAGTAAGGAAAGGAGCCACACATACATTTTGACAATGTAGTGACCCAGACAGATTTGCTTTTTATTGTAAGAAGCTTGCTCTGGCTGCAGGTAGCATGGAGAGAAGACAGGAAACAGGTGACGAGCCAATTGCCATCCAGGCAAGAGATGATGACACTGGAACTTCAGCCCTGGGGAGAAAGGAGAGGATGGGTCTGAGAGGCATTCAAGAGACAGAATGGACTAGATTTGGGGATGAGTTAGGTCCAGACATGTAATTGGAGAATTACAATCAAATTTCTGATTTCTTCCTGCTTCCCAGCTAGAAAATAGATGGTGGGGCAAAGCAGGTTTACAGTTGTTTGTATGGAAAACAATACAATAATTAATAAATAATAATACAAGAATAAGCTATTTTACATACACACAACTACAAACCTATGTTTGCCCCGCCCTGTATTTCTCTCCAGTTTATCCCATAATTTAGAAAACACAGTTAGCCAGATAGAAGAATAATGATATTAGCAGCTCCTATTTATGTACCGTCATTTACAGCCAAGGAAGTTGAGGCCTGGAGAGTTTACGTCACTTGACTGGGGTCTTGACCCTAGAGCACAGCCTCTAGTGTGTTGCCATGCTGCCTACACTGTGGGGTGTGTTCTTCATTAGTCCTGGCTGGACCTGCTCCACAGGGCAAGAGCCTGTGGCTACCTAACCCCAGGAGGGGATTTCAGAGGAGGGAGCCAGCCAATGGTGTCCCAAGACCTGGCTGGCTCCTCAGCTGTGACCATGAGTAACTCCAGGCCACTCTAACAGGAAGCAGGGTGCAGCCTGGCTGCCAGACTTAACTCAGGTGGGTATTTTTTTTTTTTTAATCCTCACCCGAGGACATTCTTCCATTTTTTGTTCAGATAGAGTGGGAGGGAGAGAGAGGAAGAGAGAGAGAGAGAAACATCGAATGAAAGGGACACATTGAGTGGCTGCCACCCGCACGACCAACCAGGGCCGGGGACAAACTGCAACCGATGTACATGCCCTTAGGGGAAACCAAACCCGGGTCTCTCTGGGCCGCAGGCTGACACTCTGACTGCTGAGCCAAACCGTCCAGGGCATCAGGTGAGTATTAATCTCTTTGCAACCTCAGGGCTGAGAACCCAGGAAGTTTCTCTTCCTTCACTTCCCAGATGGTGCCTGGGAAAGGGAGAGAGTATGATGCCAGGATAGGGTGCTCCATTCGGTGTGAGACAAGCCTGGGTTAGAATCCTGGCCCTGCTGTTCTGAATACCCACCTTTCCAGAATGTTGTAAGGGCTTCAAGAGACTGCGCCTGCAAATGGCTTAGGCCTGGAGGGACGTAAGGATCTGAATGAGTGGTCAAAGACTCCAGGCCAGCACTTCCATACCCCCCCAAATTCCCTGAGGTAGCCTGTCCTACCTCCCTGAGACCCTGATCAGCCATACAAGAAGACCAGTACCTCACAAGATAATTCAGACAAGTGGTCTAGAGAAGGAACCCCAGGAAAATGTTAGAGAGGGTGATTGGATTGTGGGTCCTGATTTAGATGGGGTGGTCAAGGAAGGTCTCTGTGAGGTGTTATCTCAACCCAGACCTAACTAATAAAGAGGACCCAAGCACAGAAGCCCTGGGGGCAGAGGCAAGAGCTGGCATGTTTGGGAGATTCAGTGTGACTGGAGGGGAGTAGAGGGAAGAAAGAGGCCTGGGGTCTGGCAGGAGCCTGCTCACATGGGCCCTGTGGCCCTAGGAGTTTAGATTGTATTCTAAGCCCAAAGGGACACCATTGGAGGATGTAAGCACACTAGTGACAAGATCCAAAATACCTTTTTAGCAGTTCCTTCGGTTGCTGTGTGGAAAATGCGTTGTCAGGGGCATGAATAGAAGCAGGCGGCCAGGTAAGGAGGCTACCACAGGCATCCCGGTGAGAGACTGGTGGCTCAGAGCAGAGTGGAGCCAGGGCGGTGAGAAGAGGAAGGGACAGCCCGGCCGGTGTGGCTCAGTGGTTGAGCGTGGACCCATGCACCAAGAGGTTGCCTGTTGGATTCCTGGTCAGGGCACATGCCCAGGCTGTGGGCCCGATACCCAGTTGGGGGCATGCAGGAGGCGACCAATCAGTATTCTCTCTCATTGATGTTTTTATCTCTCTCTCCTTCTCCCTTCCTCTCTCTCTTAAAATCAATTAAAAAAGAGAGAGAGAGAGAGAGAAAAGGGACATTTTAGAGGAGGAGCTCAGTACATGCTGTGCAATGATAATAATGACTCAATTAGAACTTCTTAATATTCCCAGGGTTTTTTTGTTTTTGTTTTTTAATCTTCACCCAAGGACATTCTTATTGATTTTAGAGAGAGGGGAAAGGAGAGAGTAACATCATTCAGTTGTCTTCCTGTGTAAGCCCCAACTGGGGATCGAACCTGCATACTAGGTATGTACCTTGACTGGGAATCAAACCCAAAACCTTTCGGTGTACAGGACGACACTCTAACCAACTGAGCCACCCACACCAGCCAGTTCTAGTACCAGGGTTTTGAACTGGGCTAAATGGCACCAGGTTCTTGAAGTCGGGGGGTGAGCATAAGTGCAGCAATAGGTATGGGGAAGGAGTAGAGGGAGCAGGACTTCAGTGGGACTGCAGCCTCTAGAAGCACCACTGGAGAAAGTGGGACAGGCTTAGAGAGTCCTTACCCTTACCTGGACCTGGACCAACTCTTATGGTGCCATTTACTTATCTCAGACACCACACCCGTGATTACCCCATGCCCAGGTCAGGGCCTGCCACATTAGACACTCCATAGATGGTGGTCAAATGAAGACATGGATGGATGGGTAAATGGATGGAGGGATGATGGATGGCTATATATTTAACTGTGTCACCCCTACTTGAACACCCCTCAGTGTTGCCAATAAGTAACAAAATTCAATGTACACAATTCCTTTTAAAGTAAATTACCCAAGCTTGGCTGGTTTGGCTCACTGGTTGAGCATCCACCCATGAACCAAGAGGTGACCGGTTCAATTCCCAGTCAGGACACAAGCCCAGGTTGTGGGCCTGATCCCCAGTGGGGGGCATGTAGGAGGTGGCCAGTTGATGGTCTCTCTCCTCAATGTTTCTACCTATCTCTCTCTCTCCAAAATTAATAAAGAAAACATATTTTAAAAAATATTTGTAAAGTAAGTTACCCAATAGCAATACTCACACATGCGTAAAAAGATATACATGCAACGCTGGCTGGTTTGGCTCTGTAGTTAGAGCATCAGCCTTTGGACCGAGGGGTTTCGGGTTTGATTCCCGGTCAAGGGCACATACCTGGGTTGCAGGTTCCATCCCCAGCCCCAGTCAAGTTCGGGCAGGAGACAACCAATCGATGTGTCTCCCTCAC